GACAGGCAGGGATRGAAACAGTGCACAAGGGTTTGGGAAACCAAACCTGCCTTGAGAATGCCCAGGCTGGCAGGATTCGCGCGGAGCGGGAGCCACACCAAAAACCAAAGCAAAATCCCCTCAAGGGCTGAGCCGGGCAAATGGCTCCGTCCCGGCGCTGCCGCATTTTGGATGCAAATAATGAGATTTTAGAAGCAAATAACGAGCGGCTGGGGACAAAGTCCCCGTTCGGTGACTCCTGGTGCGGCTCATTTCCAAATCCCCCCACGGATTCCGACCGTGCGCAGCCAGGGGAGCGGGAGCAGCGGAGAAAGGAGGGACCGCGAAGGCGGCGGGGAGGGATGGGGGAGCCCGGCACCGACACCCGGAGCCTCCGGCACCACCRGCCCGGCACGGGCACCGTTTCGCTGCCTTCGGGGCGCCGGAGGAGCTGCCGGGATCGGCGGGAGCCGCGGCACCGCCGCTCGGCTGCCGGACCCGACACGCGTTATCCCGGGCTGGTAAACAAAGGGCCGGCGCCGAGCGCCCTCCGTGCCCGCCGGACGCTCCCGCGAGGGGTCCCGGTGGCCGTGCCGTGCCAGCCCCGCACCGGGAGGGACGCGGGGCGGCTGCGAGGGGCGGCGGCGAGGGGCGGCTGCGGCGGCCGCAGCCCCAAACAGCACCGCAGTCGCCAGCCCCGCGCTGCTCCGCGGCTGCAGCATCTTCCTGCAGCTGCGCCGCGGCCGGAACACGCCGCTTACATAACGCCTGCCCCCCAAAACGCCGCTGCCGTGCCCCGGCACCCCACCGAGCCCCGCCGGCTCCCCCAGCCCGAGCGGGGACCCCCAGCCCCCGGCTCCACGGCCGCCGCGTGTCCCAGGCTGTGGGGGCTCAKCCCCGGCTCCGTCTTCCTCCCTCTCACCATCACCATCACCATCCTCCCTGTTGTTATTATTCCGTTTCAAWCCCGGAGATGCCTTCAGAGGCAGCGCAGCCCCGGGATTCCTCCGCGCTCCAGCCCGCGGAACAAAATGCCGCCCGGTTGCGGCAGCGATGCCACCACACCGCGATGTGCCACCACACCGCCACACCGGGATGTGCCACCGCCACACTGGGGTGTCCCACCGCCACCCGGGGTGTCCCAGCACCACACCGGGGTGTCCCAGCACCACACCGGGGTGTCCCACCGCCACCCGGGGTGTCCCAGAACCACACCGGGGTGTCCCAGCACCACACCGGGTGTCACACCGCCACACCAGCTCGGCTCCGGCTGGCAGAGCCGTACAATGACATTCCCGGTGATGAGGGCGAGGGGATGCTCCGCTGCCGGCGCAGCGCGATGCGGGGATGCTCGTTCCCGGTGCAGGGATGCCCGTCTCCGGTGCACCGGGAGGGCAGCGCGGGCGGCCGGTGCGGGGCTGAGCCGAGCCGAGCCGAGCCGAGCCGGGCACTCGAGGCGCGAAGGAGGGGGCGCGGGTCCGTTCGCCCCGGGGCTGCGGCACTTACCGGGGTCGAAGTGGGAGCTGAAGGCGAGGCTGGGGCTGAGGAAGGCGGCCGCCATG